GGATACTGTGCCGCCGAGCACGGTTGCGAGGCGCACTGGCGGAGACTGCACTGCGGTGTTAGACACTAACACCGGCAGCGCATGGGGACATTTGACAAGTCGGCAAACTGACCTCTGTATGTCGCAGTAGAATGCGGTTTGGGGCAGGTCATGGGTGAATTGACAGGACATTAAATGTCCATTCAGGACATGAAATGTCCATTAGGACATTTCATGATAATTAACTTGTTTGACTGGCTGACACTTTTTATGATGTTATGAAATTTATTTTAACACAGTCTCCAGCAATGTTTTGTTGCATATTTATGACCACACATGACACAGCATACCTATTATGCTCACATTCCAAAAGGATTGCATATTTTCAGGTAAATAAATGACGCCATAGTCCAGAATATTGCACTACACCCTGCCGGATGCATTTGCAGCTTAATATAACGACTACATCATCCGTTCCATTATGCTATGACGTCACAGTCTGGTGAGTGATGTTCTCTTCGGTGAGGTCGCCGGCTGGTACGCAGATGTCTGCGCCATAGGTCGGCCAATCAAAATTTGGCACCGGTTCGACTTCCCCATGAAAACGACGGCCTCATCGTTCCTATTGACAACTCAGCGCGCGGAGGCGGATGACCGAACTAATCGGCGACAAAAGTATCGCCCGGTCGACATTTGAATAATGATGCACGAATCTCTAGCAAATAACGGGTGAATAATAAGAAAGCATTAGCTCATGTCTGATTGTAAGCGTAGTAGTTGTGTGATGTTAGCTCATATGCAATATTCATGAACAGCAAAATTCGTAGGCAAAGAAGTTGCAATACTCATCCACGAGAAGAATTTATTATAGAAATGAAATAAGAATTTACGCAGACCGCACTTATGCTCCACCCAGAGCAGGGTTGTATACCAATCAAGTCGATTGAATTGATTGATTTGATTCAACGCGTATTTTGAGTTGATTGGATTGAGTCGATTGACTTTTGGAGATGACTGGTTGACTGACTCGTTTGACTTTAGCGACTGGTTGACTGATTTGATTCCCGAAAATTAGAGTGACTCGTATGATTGAGTCGATTGAATGGAAAGTTTAAATAAGTTTTAGTTGACGAAAAATAATGACACCAATTGATGACATCAAAGATCACAAAACTACACTGAAAACTGCTTGTCATCACAACTGCAATATGGGGTAGATGACCAAATAAAGAGCAGGGCCTAAACATGAACAGCCAACTTTGACTTTCAACTGCAATAACTGCTCCAATCCTGTGATAGAACCTGGCCATGGATGAGATAATACCTGGCGATGCACCTACCTACCTTTCTGCACTCAGCAGGAAACTTTTTTTTAATCCAGATGATAAAGTGCAAGGCCCTATATACTAATAAAGTGTGATTAATTAATAATTCACATCTCCACATCTCCTCAGAAACAACCCACTGAACTCTATAAATATCTGAAACCCCTACAAAAATAACTGAAACAAAAGCGTCGTTTTCGTCTCGCTAATTACGTTTACGTAAATTAATAGCTAATTTGCTGCATTGTTTAATTTGCAGCAGAACGTTTGTTGATCCTTTTCTCCTGAGAGCCTAAGCATAACATATATTTTTAATATATTTCATTTTCCTTAAAATATTTTACCGAATATTATTAAGTGGTTTTATTTCAAATGAAATAATAATTAAAACGAAATTGGTGTTGTGGTTCCTGTGGTTCCAGAGTCCCTGTCCTTTCCATTTCCTTTTAAATATATTTTTAATGCTCATCCTTATCCCCCAGTCCTAACAGTTTCAAATTGTATTGCAATAAAATGTTTTGAATTCTTCACATATAACCTATCTACCTTCGTTGGTACTGTTGGTAGCCAGTGACACATCTAGGCAGGTAAGTAGGTACCTACCTGCTTTCCTGCTGTCTTCATAAAGCATACCTAATGAAGTTGTCAAATTTGTAGCACATTTTCTACACTTTCATATGGTGTCAGTGTGACATGAAACCTAGCTAGGTTCATTATGTTCAGGGTTCAATTCAGAAGAGCTCCGCATAACTCACATAAGAGACAGACGGGGGCTTTACATGAGGTAGATGGCCTGATGACTTAGCTGGAATATGGCCAAAATTAAATTGACAACTTTTAGGTGAAAGGTGGTGATTTGGGTTAAGGGGCGTTTGTTGAAGTCAACTACTGGGTTATTTTGCACCCATTAAATGAAACTTCTGCTCCAATTCTACCCATTGAACCTCAATATCATGATCCACCTGTCCATCACTAGGTATCCTTCCTTATTACATAGAAACTTTGAATGGCATGGCAATTTATAATTTTAAATGACAATATTTTTATGTTTCTTCTGTAGGTAGGTAGGTAGGTAGGTAGGTACACCAGACTGCTATGGACACTTTTCCAAGTTGGTGGGGCAAAAAACCTAATGTATATCTTGGTTTGAGTCGTTTGATTGAGTTGATTGATTCCTTTCATTGTCGCGTTTGAGTCGATTGAATCAATTCTCGAAAACTGCTCTGACTTGATTGATTTGATTGGTTTCCCAAATTTGTCGTGATTGAATTGATTGCTATTGATTGAGTCGTATACAACCCTGACCCAGAGTCAGCATCAGAAATCATTTCCGGTAAATCCAAACTCGCTGTTTGTATTCCAACTGCCGTGTTCCAAATCCCCTTTGTGGAAATATTAGCCGAATCTGGATAGCGCAGAACAATGACGTAAGGCGCGTGCCTGGAATTCAAATGATCCTCCTCCATCGCGATGCCACGCAACGTTGCCAGGCTAAATCCGCGGAGATTTCGCCCTAAAGAGCTCTCGTCTGTCTCTTCAATTGGTGGCAGCTGAGTTGGTCGGATCCGCCCGCGTCTGACCCGTCGAGCCTCCGGTTCCGCCCGCGTCTGACCCGGCGAGGCCTCCGGTTCCGCCCGCGTCTGACTCTGCAGAGCCCCAGGTTCCGGCCGGTTGACAGTTATGGTTCAGCAGGCCATGCGCAGCCCTAGATGGACTGGAAAGCACGCTACTGGCCTAGCGGAAGCGATTCGTTTCACCGGTAAATCACAGCTCCAGATCTGAGCTCTGAGCCCGGATCGCGGAGCAGCCGCCCGGAAAGCGTTCTTGCCGATTTAGAAACTGTTGCCGAGAGATTAACCCTGATCTAGAGCAGATTGGCGTGATTTACGCGACGCTGACCTGACCTTTGTTGTCGAGTCTGGGCTCTAGGTCAGCGTGTTACACTGGTCCTACCTCCACACAGGCTACCGAAGTTTTGTCACGACTCGTGGCGACTTTTGTCTCTCCACGCGAGGCGCCTACCACTGCGGAAAGTGGTGGGAACTCGGAACTTTCTGCGGGCTTGATCGACCTATTATTGCGACCGGGGTGCCTCGCCACCCTCCACTGCGTCGCAGTGGCGGAGCGCTGGCGGCGGCTGCCGTCGCTTTATTCCCTTCTGGCTACATAACTGACTGCGCTAGGGATTATATTCCATAACACCGCTGGCCACGGATACTAAACCCGATTTTCTTCAGCTGACCACAGGGGCGGGGCTCGGTATCACCTCCCGGGGGATGGGGCTCCCGGGCCGACGCGCCGATCAGTATCCGTCGGCGGCGGCGGGCCGTCGGCGTGCCGTGCCACGCGCTCGTTTGTGCCGCCTGGACCGGCCATGATTTGTCCGGGCAGCGACAATGGCCGTCGCCGGTAATGGGTCGGCTAATGGGCCGGTGACCGGCGCCGCTCGGTACGGCCGGCATGGAACGTCCCGCGATCCGGCGCGATCTGCTCCGATCCGCCGCGATCCATCGCGATCCATCGCGATCAATTGCAATTCACCACAGTCCAACACAATTCACTGAATCTGCCGCGAGCCGGTGTTTTCACCGCGACTCTGAATTCACCGTTGTATCACACACAGTCGTAGCGATCAAAAGCTCGCCAGCGCCGACCAAAATGCATCCCGGAGCCTGGATCCCGGAGCTCGCAGCCCGGAGCGCCGAGCCCGGATCTCAAAGCCCGCGGCCGTCGACGTGCAGACTCCCGCAGCCGTGCGCCGCCACTGTCGGAATCGACGCCATCGACCGGTGAAGTCTTTGTCCTGCATCCGGTCCGGGAAGGCCGGGAGTGCGTCTCGATCGGCGCTCTCTGCGGCCCGCCGCCGGCGGTCAGGACACTTATAGAGAGCTGCGCCAGGGGCTTTTCTTGAGAAGTTGAGGGCGAGTGTGGTAGGGCGTGGGGTAAACCGGACTCAGCTTGGGTGGGATGAAGTTATGAGTAGTGATGGTGGTTTTCTTCTTCCCGTCAGATATTTGACCTTATTTATCTCATACAAACTACAAAAATATCGTAGCCAAAGCATACGAGAAACAACTGTGTCAGTGCTAATTCAAAATGCAACCTCAAACAGCTCACGTCTACAATGCTCCTGCTGGAACTGCACTAAATCACATGGCCCTTCCTGAAAGGCCTTTAGAACCTGGTGACTCACGGTCCAAAATGACTTAATCGAATGGCTCCCGTCACAAAACAGCCTCATTAGCGTCGTTCAGGCGGACCGTTCACAACAAGAAGCCAGGGTGTCACAGCCTAGCACCGCCCAGCAGCCATCCCCCCCCACCCCCCCCCCCCCACCTGACCCAACAACCGTGTCGTGCCTCACGACAGTTATCCATAACTCGCGTGAACCGGCTGTTTACACCCCTGCCACCCGCATGCTATCGCGGCTCGACCGCGCGTGGCCCCGGCCGGCGTGTATTGCTCCCTGGACAGCCATTACGATGCCAGGCACGACCACAATGTCAGGCGGCGTTTTTCACCACCTCGGGCGTAGATTGGACCTGTGTGCGCCGCTCTATTCAATCACCGTACACCACACCGACGGGATGAATCAATGGGGCCTTGTCCAGCCTGTGTTCTGTCTGTCCGAAGTCAGTGACAGCTCTGATTGGTTTCTGCCGGGCGCTAACCGAGTTGTGCTGATTCCGTTTGCAGAGATCGAGCGATTCCAAACGGGCCGCGTCTGGCGCGATGACAGGAAAATGGTCGACGTCACCAAGGAGAAGTCGCTGCGCATCAGCAGCCGTGTGCTCGTCCCCGTCAAGGAGCACCCCAAGGTGAGCACTGAGCACGCGTCACGCGGGATGGTCGGTGTGTGCATGGGAGTGTAGCTCATGAGGCATTAATTGTGTGCATTGTATTGAACATTTGTTTCTAATGCGTTGTGCCCATGTGTGTGGGCAACAAAGTTCAGGGTAGAAAATAACTCATTGTTGCTTCCAATTTGAAATGTGTGATGTATGTGGTTAATTACATATTTCTCGTAATTTGTTAAAATGTTATGCATCTATATGAGCTTAGATTGTCATAAGATTTGGCGAGAAATAATGCAATAAAATGCTTGAAAGTGATCAGTAAGCGCCAAACTCACACTCTGACCTAAGATTCGGTGCAACATCGAACAATGAATCTGCCTCCATCATCTTCCCCAGACACATTGGGGTCTAATTTCCTTCAATTGGCGTCGCTGACCTATCGCTTGAGCGGTCTCTGGCGGCTGTGCCGTTCTTTGAGTCCAGCGGATTCTTTGGTGGCGCCGTACCTCCTCATCGATCATCATTTGGTGCTGGACGATAAATGATTTCCCGCGCTCTGGAAATGGCGTCAAGTCGATCTATCCCGGCCGGGAGGGCGTCAAACTCGCCGGTCGTCGTGTGAACTAGACGGACGGCCAGGGAGGCGGGGAGGATTCAGTGTTCCATGATCCCACTATGGTATTTCACCTCTGTTTGAAGTGAGCTTTCATCAGTCTCAGAGAGAGCTCAAGTGTCGTGTTGCTGCGTACGTTTGAATGTTTAAGGAGTAGGCTTTACGACGATTAAAATATTTTTGTTAGCAGTTGTGCGTGAATAATCAAGGACTCAACCTACTCGATGAGGCAGATAGGAAATAAACCAACTGTGAAATATGCTCATGACTAACTCATTTGCAGGCAGAACCGCGTCCGCAAGAATGAAGCACTACGCTTCAGGACTTATTGCCAAGTCTCGATGTTTTTCAGTTCAACTTTGTGGGGAAGCTGCTCGGCCCCAAGGGCAACTCGCTGAAACGGCTGCAGGAAGAGACGATGACCAAGATGGCCATTCTCGGGCGAGGATCCATGCGAGACAAACAAAAGGTGAGGTGAAACAGGGGAACAAATGCATCAAATTCGTTTGGTCTTGGGAAGGATTGATTAGCATACAATCATCACCTATACCACAGACTTCTCTATATATGGACTGTGCGCTGATCCGAGGAAATCAGCATTGGAGGTCCAAAAATAAGTGCACTTTTATCCATCTTTTTACAATGAAAAGGGTGTCAGAATATTTACAAATTTGGATATAGGATAGCCCATACTTTTATCTACCTGTCGGATTACATTTTTTTTGTTGAATTCAAAATAAATAAGAAATAAATGTATATAAATGAGAACATGTTTTCTCGTTCAGTTAGCGATTTGTTCACGCTGGAGGTATATACTTCACAAATGCAGCCGTACTTTGCGCGCATTTTCTTGCTTTTGAATGTTGGTTGCATTGTTGGTTGTCGTTGCTAATTTGTCGGAACTAGTCATTTACGTTGGTTTTGAAAAGGGTTTTGAGAAATAACGATACATTATATAGGGCCACAAGAAGCAGTAAAAATAAGTGAGAAATAGCTCGAAAAAAATGGTCAAAAAAGGAAAGAATATTATCGATCACTACCTCATCACGACCGGATCAGAAAACGTGTGGTGCGAAGATGTCATTCCGGGTATCAAGCCAGAGTCAGGGCAAGAAAAATGTGAAACGAAACATAATTTCTAGCAAAAAGGCAACTTTTTAGCCTCCCTTATAACTAAAAGGAAAAAAATGTTCACAGACGAAACCATCAATCGAGATAAGAGATAACGCTGAGGACAATCAGATTAAGATTTGCAAGTTTACTTTTGCAAACACTGACTCCTGTGAGACTCACACAGCAAGAAGAAAAACAGGACGCTATCGACGGCGCCAGTCTCAGCATACTTCCTATAATGCCTAGTGCCTTATTTCAATTTTATTCTGGAGAAAAAAAAGGCTCACTGAAAGGAGCTACAAAGACTTAACTTGACCAGCAGTTAATGTGAAAAGAACAACTCGCCATCGCAGTTCGAAGCTACGCCGCGCTAAATAATGCCATACCCATGGCAGTGATACGCCACTACATCCAAAAGAAGTAAGCTTATTCAATCAAACAATGAAGTTTATCCAGTGTATCGTATGGGGTTGTAGTTCATTATGGTCTGGATCAAATCATCTCGGAAGAATGCTCGATGAAATGATGGAATTCGTACCCTTCGCATCAATGTTAAACGATGAGGGTTGCCGCTCTTAAATGTTACCGCAAAACTTGCATCGGGATCGGGAAGCTCAAGAATACGCCAGTCTGCGAAGAACGGACGGGAAAATAGCGGTGGAGCAGAAACAAGATGTATAGGACTGATTGGAGTTATTAGAGTTATTACAGGAACTTCTACTTTATCTCATATCTCAGGTATCTCAGGAAACTGGCAGGTCACCATTTCTAGGCCAGCTGTGGACATTTTTGATGGAGAAGCCAAGAAATGTGCCAAGGGCGAAGAGCATACTGTAACTAACGAGCTACAGAATATGATGGAGGCGCCGGGGGCACTAATCGTTTGGCCGAACGGGGAAGAGCACTTGATCCGCGCCCCGGCAGGTTACCTGTGCTCCAGCTTCCGAGCTGAGATGGTCGCCCTCCGAGCTGCTCTCTCCTAGCTGCTGTAGAACCCGCCGCACGCCGAAGACACCATCGTAGCCTGCACCGACTCGCAGTCCGCCCTCGCCGCCATCCGAGGTGGCTGGGCCGCCCAGCACTCCTCGCTCGGAGTGGACATCTGGAGAGCCCTCTGGGGACTGACAGCTGGAGGCCTGTTGGTCTACCTACAGTGGGTGCCCTCACAATGCAGGTTGGAAGGCAACGAGAGGGCCGACACCATCGCCAAGAAGGCAAACATACTCGACTAAAAACAAATCCTAATAGACGTCCAGAAGGCCCACTGGGCCGCCGCCAGAGTGGCGAGGGCTCGCACCATCGGGGCCTGGCCAGCCGGCTGGTTCCACCAGCTGACGGGGTATCGACTCCCGCCTGCCGTTGCCGGCGGCGACCGGCCAGCGGCGGTGGACATCCACCAGCTCCGCGCCGGCCACTGGACAAGCTCCTCCCAATGGCGCCACAGAGTCGGGTTGGCGCCCTCCTGGCTGTCGGGGTGCAACCAGTGCGACGACCGACAATGCAGAGCCGCACTCTACCCGTCTGCTGAGAGGAGGCGGACAGCCCAAGCATGTCCTCCTGCGGTGCCCGGCTCTAATGGGCACCCGACATCGCCTGATGGCGACCATCAACCCCAAGGCATGGAGGAGGTGCGGAGCGGCAGCATCGTGGTGGCCCTGGGGGCCGCCCACAGGTCCCTTCAGAGCTGCTCGGCTACGTCTCCATGGGACGAAGGGACACAATAAAAGCAACAATAGCTACAGCATGACAACGTGATGGGAACGACCGTCACAAGAGCTATCGCCTTATCATTCAGCAGCGAGTGAAAAACGAGCAGACGGAGGGATACGTTGCAATTGGTGATGCGCATGTGCGAATGTGTGAAAGTGCGACTATGTGTAGATGCGTGGTGCGAACAAGTGCAGGTAGCAGAGAAGAACAGTGAAGACACCGTTGCAGCAGACACACATTTTCCCGTAAAGTCCCCCATCGGCATTACCGCCAACCTTTACCACCAGCGCGGTCGGTGCACTGTCGCGCGAGTTTGTAGCCAGCCATGTCAGAGATGTGAACAATCCAGCACACGGGGGAAGAAGAAAGGGATGATAGCCACCCTTTCTCGCTGGATCCCGCGGTGAAAATGGACTAACGCCATTTTCAAGCCCACTGGTGCAATGTGAGATGAACTTGACATGAGGACATCAATGGGTGTCGATGAACGTGAAATAATGTTCCAATACAGATTCATATCGACCAGAAGCCTTTCTTATTCTGAGCTACGAGCAATAGATAGTACAAAAACAAAATATATTACATAAAATTCAGCCTGTCGACAGGAAACAATAAAAGGGTATTGTGTTACAACATATGGGTTCATATTACGGCTTCAGAAATTTGGGCCTCCAATGCTGATTTCCCAAATCAGCGCACAGTCCATATATAGAGAAGTCTGTGCCTATACCAATCCATCTTCCCCTTTGCACCCCCCCCCCCCCCCACCACCACCACGCTTGACATACTACCCTTCATGTAAGCGTTGACATACTCTAGTGACGGTTGCGGATTTTTCATTATGCGTACTCCTACAGCTGTGCTAATGCTTGTTATGAATCACATAGATTTTCATTAAACTTCACGTATATTTTATGTGGGATATGACACTTGCCTGGACGAAACTTCAAACACGTTTCACTGAATACACGAAAGTTATGTAAGAATCCACTGTCAACCATGCTACAAAATTACAAGCTATTGTGTCGATGGCTATCAACGTCGAAACTCGACGGCAATCAAACTCAAATGTGCTGGTTCAATATTTAACGGATGAAAATTGCCACTCATGTAAAAGCTTTCCGTGACGTATCGGCTATCAGGCTATTACCGGTGAATCGGCGCGAGTTTTGTCGATTGGCAGTTACCGTTATTATGACGTCATTACCCTATGCCTGAAATAGTCCAGTCTGATCGCACATTGGCAGAATCCTTGCTCGAGTTATCCAAATATTTACAGACAAAACAAGCCAGCGGTTAGAGATGCAGGCTCACAGGAAATCAACATAAAACATCAACGTCATCCAAGTGGCTATAGATGCTTCATCCACCAAAGCTGAACGGCATGCGCTCCTCATTCAACTATAACTTCCAGTCCCTCTGCCAGCTCAGTCTCTGACGCGAGCGAAACGAAACCTGTGCCGAACCAAGCCAGCTCCGCCGTGTTTTCGCCTCTGCTCCGAACATGATCGAGCGCTCCAGCCAGCCCCGTTTGAAAGCGGTCGTTATTGAAGTTTGCTGAAACGGTATCGCTCCCGATTCACGCAATGTTTGAGTTGGCGGCGGCGCCGTGGTTTTGGTGCCGGCTCGCCGATGTGCAAACTGAGACCGGCGAATCCAACACGCGGTCCGGAAGGTTCGAGCGGTCCGTGACTTGTCCTCCGGCCGCCGTGAGAAACTAACATTGACTCTGCTCCGTGCACTCACCTTTGAGAAGCCGATGTATGTAAGCAGACGGTGCGGTGCAGCCGGCGCCAACTCTGCTCATTAGACAAGTTCCGCAGACTTGCTCGGCCGCACTCTAATTACTTTGATGTTGGGAGTGGTAGCTGTAGTCCCGGCACGGCTCGGATTTAGGAGGGATTCCAAGTCCTGAGCGGATACGGAATGTGGGAAGCAAAGGCGGATAGCGGCGAAGTAAAGTGTTGTGGATTGATTGAAATGAAACAGGACGACCTTGCAATGATACAATTTTTGGCGTGTAAATCACGTATGCTAAGAAAGACTTCCGGCTCGTGTTTCATTCATAGCCACATTTGTTTCGATGAATTATTGCTGAGGGTTGTTGCAACTTTCTCTTAAGCAAAACCCTACTTTTATGTCACTACATTTGTAAGGATAGTAAAATAAGCGGAACCTATTACTGAAATAAAAGTACAACACGAATAAGAAAATAATTGCACTGAAAAATATTGAATAATCATAATCAACAAGCCATCAAGTACCTGTATAACAGCAAACTCAATTCACGGGGCGACTATAATTCAGGATAACGTTCTCGCCAATAATTCTATACTCGGTTCGATTGATCCGTCGCTTTCCGCCTGCTCTCGATCCCACTGCACGTTGCCATCTGTCTCCCAGAGGGAGGGTTACCGCTCGCAGGCAGACAGCGACCCCGGAGGTGGCTTCATCGACAGGTCACGACTCCTGCGCCCCTCCCGTTCGCTCCCCTCCATTCGATCAGCTATGGAGGGCACTCCGTCACATCTGAACGCTGCTCGTGGGTGAAAGGTGGGCCTGGGGCGGCTGAGACGCTAGCTCAGAGCTCGCAAGAAATTTCATGAAAAGCTTACTACGAAGTTAAAAAGTACTCTGAAAGTCTGCGGAGGGTCAGCAAAGCTTGCAAAATCATGAGCAGCTCAGAAAAGCTGAAGCTTCGATACAGCTCTGGAGACGCAGGAGGAAGCAGGAAGAATGTTGGTTATTTTATCAGGTCGGAAGATTTGCGTAGTCGTGACCGAATGCCATCTATCGCTACCGATCTAACGAGCTTCCAGTTGCTCCAAATCGGCGCAAAGCTGGGGTTGAATGGCCGAATGACCGCCCTATTCTCCTCAGGGGGAAGTTAAACAGATGGGCCGCAAGGGAGAGACCCGACGTCGGTGACCGGGGAGACGGTGAACCCGTTGGAGGGTCCCGGGGGTCGAGAGGTTATGGATATGCGTCATTGATAGGACGGCAGATATGTTGCCTCAGTGGGGCATCAATGTACGTAAATAATTTCTGGCGTGGGTGATCTCACTAATTTTTCTTCCCGTGGCACAATTTCAATGTCACCTGAGATGATACCACGAAGCGAATGTGATGACATGACACATAAATGTATGCATGTCTGTCCGAAAGACCGTGAAGACGATATTTCTGTATGCTGAAGTGGCGCCGTCTGGGACAATATGTAATATATTGCTGCATTTCTGCTATTTTATATTCAGGCTGAGCATCCTGAGCAGAACCCGTAAATCTCAATGGAGCCTATTCAACGTATAACAATGAGGGAATGGAGCATAATTGTGCGGTGAAATTATGCGACCGTCGGTATTTATTCCGTTTCAAGAGACGCTTAAAATGCCGTAGGGAATTTCATGGTCGATTAAACAGAATGAAACTGCTTATAAATTGAGTCTGTTTTCGGTTTCACTATGCCACATCAATGCACACAAAAAGGTAGTTTGTTCCTGGTCCGCTAACCAAAAAATTAAATACGATTTCAAAATAAATGTGATATGAAATTGTGTATGCCTAATACCAAATGTTGTTCAAAAACCTAATGAAAAATTTGCATACGAGTATGAGACAAACTATCGCCATTTTTAAAACGGTGACCTGTCACAAAGCATATACCCAATGTACTCTTAGTTGCAAGGGTATCAATGTAGATGAGGAGCAGAGTGCACCATTCACAGACCTTCCCTACTCGATCCCACAGGAGGAGGAGCTGAGGGCCGCTGGTGACCCAAAGTTCTCACATCTCTCCGAGGACCTTCACGTGGAGGTGACGGCCTTCGCGCCGCCCGCAGAGGCCTACGCACGCATGGCCTACGCTCTGACAGAGGTCCGCCGCTTCCTCGTGCCGGTGAGTGAAGGGTCGGGGGATCGAATCTCAGCGAATGTTTTCTTCTTTTTTGATTTGTTTCAGCCAGCCCATGCTATTTGTAAAATGGAGTCTTGCTCATGATTAGGTGTTACGTTGCGTCGGATGGTTCATTGTTTTTCTGTTAATCCCAGCGAAGTTTTGAAAACTTTACGATACCGAGTATTTAACACCCAGGGTAAGAAAACAGGCTAGAGATTTTGCTTCATTAAATGGAATAGAATGCATCATGCGTAAAATTTAGCATTCGACCGATTGCTTGTAGTCGAGTGGATATCTCGTCTTAAAACTGAGCTCTTGTAGCTGCTCGCAGTCGGCTGCGGGCTAAATGGTTATTGGCCCATCACTGCACGGTACTTTGCAACGGTTTGTGGCAGAGGCAACTCCATAAAAGACTGACTATTGGCAATTCATGAGTGCCGTTAAGTAAGCGGCGAATGGTCAATAATTTGGCTTCTTGGTTTTGGTTAGGGGAAAGCGACAATATCATCGCAATAAACAGAGGTGAATTTGTTTTTGTGTTTTTGCAAATAAAACTTAAAGGAAAAGTGCCACCTTCGTGAAATATGAAGATATCGTTGCTTTTCATTTTGACATTATTATTTTTCATGTTCTTTTTAAATCTGGTGCCAGAAGTGCATAATTCGCAAAAAAGTATGTCAAACTATTTAACATATTGGTACTATGTTTGTACTCTCTACCGCACCTTCTGTATGATGTCATAGCGATGACATCACACTCAAGCCAATCAGCCTTCAGAAGACAGTCTCGTCGGCTTGTGTCAGATTAGCTGATTGGTTAAAGCTGAGCTGATTGGAGCAGAGGCCTCTTGCACCAAACTACCTTCCTAGGTAAATTCCGATTTTACCTAAATTCTCTTGCACCAAACTACCTACCAAAAAACGCTACCGTGAAAATCTACCTAGAAATTCTACCGAGCGGCATCGGAACTTACCAGTTGTTAAACTCCGACCGGCTGTTTTCCTCTTGCACCGAAAGTGCTGCACTTCTGACAGGTTTTATCTTATCGAGAAATAAAACTTGTAATAAAACGCAAGGACGGTTGTAAGTTCATATATCAATAGACGCGTTTACATAGGGTTTGTTGCAAGCTTATATCTCCTACTAACTTCAATTGTTTCCCCAAATGGGAGTTCTTGTTATGCCGTATGTATGTACCTGACTTCCCAGCGACGCACAAAATTCAGACGTTCTGTCCTGCGTAGTCAGCTAGTTTCCTCTGCTACTCGTGTTTCCCTGAACAACTTAGTGATAAGACGACAACGGCTGCGAACAGCGACCGGCGGGACAAACACATTTAATAGCCAAACTTAGCTCCCGAGGAGCTATCACTCTGCGTGGCACGCACATTCCTCGCATTTAGTGGAAAATAACAACGGCTGCCTGATTATAGTGTAACCCTATGAGACACATTCCAGCCAACTTTGACACTGAGCCTCCCCGTCTGCAGGACTATAACGACGAGATCCGGCAGGAACAGATGCGCGAGATGCAGCTCATCAATGAGAGCGGCAGCGGCGGCGTGGTGGGGGGCGGCGGGGGCGGCGGGGGCGGGGGCGGCGACCCGGAGGGGGGCAGCACCAGCAGCGGCAGCCCCCCTCTGCCGGTGACGGCGCGCCCCCCTCCGGCCAACCTGGTGCTGCCCGTGACCGGCCTGCTGCCGCACCCGGCGCTCCGCGGCCTGACACCGCGCTCACATAACGGACTCACGCCCTCAGGTGAGAAGAAAAGGTAGTGAAACAGAACCAAACAAAAAGAACGATAAAAATATGCGAAATCAATTTGCTTGGCATGGAACCTGGTAGTTATTTGTAGGCTACACAAAGATTTACAAGATTTTCTCTTATTTCATAAATGACCCTCGAGCGTGAATCGAGCGTCTTTGAATCTTTGAAAAATAAAAGAAGTCTCTGAACAGGATATAAAAGTGGACGCTTAAAGTTTCACCAAACCATTACAATAAGCGGATAAAAAGCTTATGTCATTTGATAGGAACAAATATGCTATTCTTATTCCTCTTGTATGAATTAATAACCCAAATGCCGACGGATTTTTCGGAATTCCGCAAATGCCGACGAACGAATCACACAAAAAGCTTCCTGCCCTCTATCTGACCCTCCTCAGCCGTCAGAACGCGACCGGCTCGCCTCTAACCTCGCGTTCAGCCTCTGGGGACTTCTCTACTATCAATCCTCTGAGTCGCGGCGGCCGACCCACGGCACTGTGCGGGTCGGAGCCGGAGCGACAGTTCGGTCGGATCGGTCGTCGTTCGTCGGAGTCGACGGCACGGCGGTTTCTGAAGATCCGGCACGGACCGACTCCGAGGCATTTGTGTCGATTTAGGCACATCGGCAAGGCTGCCGGCATTCTGAGTCGACCACGGAGGGTTTGCAGCGGTCCCAGCCGGCCTAAGGCGATTTGTGATGATTGGGGGTGTTGCGGAGCTGTGGAAGAGCGGATGCAGAGACGATGCGGAACAAGGAATGATTCACACAAAAGCGACGCAGTATTATTAGTTTCTTTGCCGGAAGACGGTGTCAGCCAAGTCCAATGTCGGTGGGTAGGAATACTGCGGCACTGAGAAGAAAACGGGACCGGCGCAAAATGCATTTTTATTAATTCGACACTGTTTCCCGGATACGTGCCACGTAGTAGCCCCGGAAGCTAGTTCAACTTCACTCACAATAGTTGGCGCATAATTCCATATTTCTTCAATTCCAGCGTTCTGGAGAAACTTCGTACTTCCATAACATCCTTCCCGAGAACTCTGGTAGATGCCACTGATCTTTTGTAAGGCTCTGAACCAAGATTTATAAGTGTCCTTGATTTTAAGAGCCCGAGCAACGGTCTGAATATATCTCCGCTCGCCGCATCGTACGGAAAATCGAGACCTGTTTCCCTCGAGACGAAATATTTATCGATTTTACGATTTATTAAAGCGTTCCATTGAACTTCTCGAGGCAAGCTCAGCAGTTCGCACAAAGCTGGTGGGTGATTCACTGTAGTGAGTAATACGCTTAGTTTTCAACCAGAGGGGACGACATTGTTATATTCTCATTTCAGTCTCTCTCTCTGTTAATGCTTCGCAATAACACACAATTTTGAAGGTCCAGTGAGATATTTTTAGACTGAAGTTGGTCCTAATACCGCAATAAAAACATCTTCATCAAAGTTTCATCATAAAAGACAGACTGCCGTGCCGAATCGCCCATAGCCGCTCTAAGTGGACACAAAGCGACGCGATGACTCCTATCGCATGTCTGGGGATGCTAAACCCAAACGAACTGGAAAGAACCATCCACTTCTCGAAAAGTTGCACAATGCAGGTTGTCGGGTCACTCGCATATTACCGTCAATTATCCGCGCTGAAATGGAATTACTGGGAATTACGAGCCGAGGGCAGTCATTTCCTTGTTAACTTTCGCTATCATTATTTGCGCAAGCTTGTCCGGGCGGCATCATTTCCATGGTGTGTTGACGGCGCCTGGGTGGACTTAACGACTGTTGTGGAGCTGAACTTGTGTTCCCGAGACTGTCTTTGAGCCAGGCTGTTACACTTCCGGTCTGCAATGTTGTGCACTTGTGCAGGAAGTCTGGTTTGTGAGGTTTGTCTGAAGGTCATTTGTCGGCTTCGGTCTGTCCAAGGCACCCTTGCTGGTCTGGCATGCTCATCAGTTCAGTGCAACCCGGCCTGGTCTGTCAGGCTCGCCAGGAGTCTGTCGACCAAACAGGCTGTCATGGGCTTGTTTGATCTGTCTGAGCCGTCTTGGCCTATCTGGTCTGTAGGAAAACTTTGCGGACCGTCATGGATCTGTTTGGTCTGTCGTTAACCCATAATATCATAGACCGCGGGTTCAAGGGCACGTTGTATGCGCAGGTCACGGTGGAACTCGGTGACAGGACGCATCGATACCGATTTTGCCATCTTACTCCATCGTGTTGTCCGCTGACCAGTTTCCATGAAATCCGAGGCAGACAGACGGCGTCGTCATTTTGTGTCACAGATAGATGGGGAGATGCAACAAGCCGGTTTTTGCATGGCGGCATGCGTTCAGTAGACGGAGTCATAAAGTTAAACGATTGATTTGAATAAGTCCACATGTATAGGTACTCACTCGGTGTCATTATAGAAATGATTTGAAAGAAAAGGCCAACAATCAGCATTGGCATCACTGGAATCGCTGTGGAGAACTTAATGCCACAGGTTTGAGCCAAAGCTGTTGTTCTTGGTAAAGTTGCCGTGGCGCAACGAACAGCGCCGCAATGTTATAATACCTAGAAATGACGGGACTGATTAACGACACTGCCGCGGATCACAGACAAATCCAATCAATGAACATGGAACAACAAAGGCTCAAACGGAGATTAGATGCTCGTTTCGGGCGTCGTTGTTGTAATAGTGAAAGGCACATAGAGCTGCTGCTGCCGACACTTTGGCGCGATATGCAGCTGAATCGCATAACTCATAACTGCATTTAACCGAATCGCAGTTTTGTAGGTAATGTAGAATATCCAAGACAGTTAGGATAAATGATAACAATAACACGTTTTAAATATATGTTTGTAGGTAATGTTTTCAAAGTTAGAACAGCAGGGAAATAAGATAGGTTTCATAACAAGTAAAATCCGAACGTCAATTGAGAAATATCGTGATTTTTATTCATTTCAAGTAGTAATGCACATTACACCCACAATCCACATGTATTGCGGCTGTGCAGTTGATATGAATGAGAAAGAAACATGGCAGCTGGGATGTCAAACTTTAATTAAATTCCCAATCCCCAACAATGGTGGCTAAACTATACCAGACCGGCGCTCCCAGCCAATGGCCTCAATTGGCCGCCGCCGATGGCTCCTAATGGGAGTTCGATTGAACCGGCAGTCCTTGAAAGGTCGCTGATTACACTAATTCGAGCGGCTCAGACTATCAGTCGGGCAGCACCTTGGCTGCCAGCAGGGACGGCAGCTGGAAAGAGGAATTGTAATGGCGGTGCTGCCTTAAATGGTCCCCCGGTACCAATATGTCTGACGGTAATAGTGTGAGTGCACACAGATGGCGTCAAAGATAAATGGACGGCTTTCCCATCTCGGAGCACGTTTAGACAATTTTTTTCTCACCTTAATTACTGCAATGTTTTTGCATTGTTGTCTGGATGCATGCTTATTCATGCTGACGACAGCTGCTATTTTTTCTCCATTGCACGTTATGTAGATAAGTTTTACTATGAATAATAGAAGAAAGCTGCGTTTAGAAGGGAAAATTAGCAATGAATCTGCAGCATAAGTTTGAGCATAAGTACAAAGTTACGGGTGTTTACATAATAATGTAATGAAACACCCGCTAAACTGTGCATCTAATTCATGGTTAATTTTCTTCCCAAATCATTGAGCGAAAGCCGGCTCTAAGTTGCGAAACGTTTTCTCGGAAACATTATCCCGCAACTATGAAGTCCTTGCTGGCCGGGCAAAGTCTCTGTCGGCACCTTGAAAGGCTTCCCACCGGATGTGCCGGTTCCGGTTCCCATTAATTAATGGCGGCGGGCCACTCACCTGCAAGATGCAGAAGGCGGCCGCGACAATAAATAGCATCAGCAGACGCGTTGGACGAGTCAGGTGCCATGGAGCATGCAGTGCACTGTGCGGTGATCCCGATTCTGAATTGAATGAGGAAACGTAGAGTCAGGACTGGCCTTTATGTTTTAATATGCTATTTATTTGTTATATCATACTGTTGCGTCTTGCGTTAAAGTGTCCAGTTTAAGTCAAATAAAAATACGATTGTTGGTTATTATCAATTGATGCACTGCATACTCGTCTGACACACAACTGCTATACGAGCATTAGCGTTCGGCGTGTGTGCGAGTAAACTTCGAAAAAGACACTCAGAAGTGACAGTACAACGACGGCGCCTTTGAGCACCAACATCCCCAACAGTCTGGTAGAGGATTTCCGGTCTAAGCCATAATCCCATTCTGATCGCCATTTTCGACCGGCTCCGAGGCAGCTTTGCGTCCGGCGCTCGGGCGCTGCGGTGGCTTTTGTGTCAACTTTTCTTTCCCGGTCGCCTCAGCCTGATTTATTGTCCAAATCTCTTCGGGTGATGGTCGGGTGTTTCGAGGCCCACACTGGAGGCAAAAAAGTCAGTAATGACGTCGCTACTGTCCAATAAAATCGACCCCAGGGGCTTAATGGCCCGAGGAAGACGGCCCGAGGATCCTGGGCGAAACAGGCACTGAATTATATAAAAGGGCTCAATCGTGGAAAATTTCTTGTAAGCTTCCCGATTTACTCATCATTGCAACAGACACAGGCATTGTTAATTGGCAGGACCAGCTCGTCACTGAGAAAACTCGCTGAGAGAACAGTCACGAAAAGCTGCTTTACACTTATGGTTTGTGTAGCAATCAAATGTTTGTAGAGAAATTATCAGCATGCCTACATTACTTAGTTACAACGTTCCGGATGCCTTCATGAAGCTTACAAGTTTTGCCGGTCGAACAATTTAAAACCCAGTCTTATAGCCTGTTACATTTTGTGCACCGTGAGCAAAAGGACCCATAGACCTCAATCAGCTCTGCAATGTGACAGTTTGAAGTTATCCGTACTCGTAGAGGTTCGAACAGCTAGACAGACGTCGTATGTCACCCCAACTCTTGAAATGGTACCCTAGGGGCGCGGTTAGATTGAAAGCCACGGCTCCCTCCATCCCTTCCGGCCACGGGTCCACGACCACGGGCATCACCGCGGCCGCGCGCGGGTGACTGCGCGATCTGCGACCGGAATTGCTTGTCGCACGAGATCTCAGTGGCCATCATTTACCGCCCCAGTGCTGCCGGAACCAAAGTCCACTCCGGCCGCGGGGTGATTTAAATTCTGGGGACGCGTCGGCGCATCCCCACTGGCGGATGTTATAAGAGGAGCGAGCTTACCAAGCGAGAAGCGGCTGAAATCGCCGCATCAGCAACAGGGTGTAGAATGGGGGAGACTGGGACTGGAGCACGGGGATGAAATGGTGGGCGATGATGGGAACAGCGCCCTAAATTCATCCTCTCGGGTTGATGGAGAAAGACGAGGTGATATAAAACGGATGATATAAATATACACTAACATGATTGAAAATATGAGTTTTTGGATAGGTCAGAGACATCAGTGCATACGGTTGTATAACATTATAATATCAAAGTCGTAGGTAACGTAAAGAAAATGCCTGAAACTTTCGAATTAAATATCCTCGAAGATTCTGCCCACTGAGCTAAAACTCTATCGATGCTGAAAGTCCCGAAAAGTCCGATTTCCAGCCATAACTTTTGGATATGACTGACACAGCTGCGTTCCTCTTTCAAAGTCCGCTAAATAATCATAGCGCTCAGACTCTGTCCAACTTTGGTAGCTTCCCGTCGGAAAATCGATTTTCAATTTTCATTTGATAAACGCCCAACTCATTAAATCCTTCGCGGGAGCCCTGAGGGGGAGCTAGTGTGCGGCGGCGACCATTCGTGTTCCCAGGCGGGCCGAATGGGAAGACCGAGTCGAAACGAATGGGCGCCATTGGTGTGACTAATGCGGTGGGCTCGCCCGTAGTCCGATGGCATTTAGCACTGTCCACCTCTGAAGGAACGGAGATACCGGTATGGCCGCGCGGAGCATATCAGGGAGTGCATCATGTAGTGTGTCTCTAGGAACGTGTCTATGGGAAAGGTCATTGGAAGTTGTGCTCCTCATTTCTGTGAATACAGGAACTATTTTAATTTGCCACTTTACAGAACACTGCAACGAAGATAGCTTCTACGGGTGATAGTAAACATGTAGTTCAGCTGCCTGTTAATCAAACTTTTATGGTAAAACTAGCAAAATTTGAGGTAACGTCGATTGATTACATTTTCGGTGTTTTATGGCACGGATTATTGACATGGCTGCCAAGGAAGATATCCGAGTTGAACCATGAAAGTGATGGCTTAAGAACATCGAGGGGTTGGATTGACTCATGGCGATATTTGTCATTGGTGACAACTGTGAAAGTGATAGCCAGTCAGTCCTGTGCATACGAGTATCAGTAGAAAATATGATCGCCACCCCAGATAAACTTACCAAAAGTTGTGTTTAAGCTATCTTAATAAAACATTTATACAAAAGATTACTATCCTATTTACTCTGTGTTGTCTGCATCGTGTATCGTCCGCATCATCATCTTTATGTACCATACATTTTATGTGATTCGTTTGGCACTAGCCAAGATAAATGCGGCACTTGTCCAGGCTAAACGCTGGCACTCTTTGAGAGCAAAATCAGTAAGCGGTTACCTTCACCGACAGAAACTAGTGAAGGTAATCAGACCGGAGCATCCTTGTTTGGACGGCGTCTGCGTTCGTGCTCAGTGCTTCTCCCTGGGGATCTGCGGGTGTGGGATCGGACCGCGTCTGAGGCTCAGGGTGAAGATTGAGTGGGGTACCGCTCCACACCTGAGCGACGCAGAAGTTATCCAAATGGTCCCAGAGCGGGAGTAGCAATACCAGCTCAATACGAGGACACGCCGTAAACTTAGTTGTTTTTCTGAGGAGATTTTGTTCTGCAGCGGTCAGTGGTGCTGCTGTTTCACTAGCTCGTACTTACAAAACAAAACTGGATATAGCTACGATTGGAATAATATTTCAACATCACTCAAATCGTGTGAAATGCTGGAGTAACACATTTACCATCAATCAATTTATTACCGATTCGATTCTTCATTAATGCGTTAAAGTTAACAACAAGTGCGAAGTGCAATCATCAAAGTTGAAAAACACATCTTGCCATTTCATCACGACAGCCTTGATCACAATGCCAGTGTTCACTAACACCATTTTCGTCTATTCCCAGTGGAGCAGGGACCAGCCATGAGCCGGCTGCGGAGCGCCGGCCTCCTCCCCCTGCCGGCCGCTCCACAGACGGCTGACCTCACCAAACAGCTGACCTCACTCGGCGGTGACGTCACAGACGAGGCCGCCGCGCATGCGCAGCACCAGTTCCTCGAGCTCTGCAACAGCATGAACGGCATGAACGGCATGAGCGGCTACGATCTGTCGGGGTGAGGATCCGGACTATTTTGTCAATTAGACTGCCAAGTTACAACTGAACGCATCACGAACTGCGCTATGAATTATGGGTACTTACAAGCATTGGTAAAAAAGTTATCCAGCGTCATTCATAATTAAGTGGCCAACAACATCAAGGTTCTCTGTCTCAGCTTCGCCCAATGCCGAGCTGTGAGTCATGCGGCACAGCATGCGCCAGGCGCTACTGGTGCTGCCATCTAGGTACATAGTCCTTAACTAGGCGCCCGGTTACCTAAGCGTTATTTGTCGGAATGTAAACAGTTACTGAGTTTATAAAAAAAGAGAAAATGGTGGCCGCTATTTTCTAATGTACGGTCCTCCAGATATTTAGTGGTTGGTTGCCAACATCACAATAAGCGATCTGCATTGATGAATACGTCTAATGGCTGTTGAAAACCACTGCCGAAGTGTGTGTACGAACACTCTTCTCATTTCTATTGAGTCATTTTACAGGAGTGTCTCTGTCATTCAAACTTATTACACCAAAAGCATATAAGCTAACCAACCACTCTTTTGCTGGAGAGCCGTACCCATTAACCATGATCCGGTTCTTATTCTATGGAAGCCTACGTTGGTACCGTTTACTGAACTCTGAACACTGACAACTGATCCCGTCTGTTTTCAGACTCGGTCTTCTGGACATCACGCGCATCACCACCCTTCCCGTGAGCCAGTTCGCTGACTTCTACGCCGCAGCGCCCAACCCGGAGCCAGGTAACCATGACAACCGTTCAATGCGTGCCTGCGTCCACTAACCGCTGTATTTACCGTAACGGTCTCCATGACAACAAGCCGTCAAAACTGATTTGGTTACTTTGACTCAGGGAGCCTCCGACGGCTACGGGCTAAATCAGCTCACAGTTGGGTCGCCATGGAAACCATTCGGATATGACGGCCAAGCTAATGCGTCTTTAAATATAGCATAATTGACGTGTCTTTGAATAGTTTCTGCCAAAGAACAGGCCTTTTAAACTCATTGGTTGATTGCTAGCCACCCACTGCACGTCTTTACCCTCCAAGCCAAAATGGCCTCCCTGCTCTCGTGCCGCTGACCTCTGGGGCAAACAATCGACCTCTCGGCGTTTGATCGGCTGGGCGAACAATCGACCGTTCTCTGTGGCCACCGGCCGCCGCGGGACACCGCCAAAGACTTATTTCCGACCCCATTCACCGTGGCTCGGGCCGCCAGCCGGCAACTGATTTACGCCTCCTCTTCGATAGCATCCGATTACGTTATCCCCCATATTTTGGCTGGCTCGTTTCGTGGGTCACACGGCTCGCGTTCGTTGCTTCCCTGAGGTTTGTGACCTGCCTGCGGCCGGCACGGCGCTGCGAGGCCGGTCCCTCCCTGGCGCGGAGGCCCTCTTGACAAATCGTCGGGGTGTAAAAGCTCGTCAAGCGCGGGGCGTTCTTTGAATGCGGCGGAAGAGGTGGGGGGGGGGGGTGCGTCGAAGGGGGATGGTAACACGCCCCGGGGCTGTCGGCGCCGACAGCAGATGGTGTCACTCCATTAGCTAGGTGACGGGTCCCGCTGTGACTGTCGGACACGACTCGGGCTCCCACGATGAATGGACTCTGCATACGCTGGGCAGACGGAGAGCACATTCAGATAGCGGGCCCACTGAAAGGACGCTCCGTATAGAGACAATCAGCGGTGGGGTGTAATGCTGTTTGTGCGTAGTAACTTGTGGATGTGCGTAATGCGAATGCCCTGCTCCATATCACGTCACGTTAAAGTGAAAATAAGTAAATTGAAATCAGTGAAACAGTGAACGTAAATTAAATTAAATATTTTTTTCATTTGTTATTTCCAAAATAAGTCCCGCAGAACGTTGATCGGGTTTACCAGGCGAGTAAATGCCTACTCCATCACTCTTCAATTTCCATTAGGAATGTAGCAGCCGGCGTCCTGGAAAATGGCAGCTGCGTTTGCTTACATAACAATCTGTGTAGACTATACTAATGTCCTGACCAGGGCTGCGGAGTCGGAGTCGGAGTCGGAGTCGGTCGGAGTCGACAATTGTGACCGGAGTCGGAGTCGGAGTCGGAGTCGATTTTAGAAACCCGAGCCGGAGTCGGAGTCGGAGTCACCGAAAATCTGTCGACTCCGCAGCCCTGCTAGGTCTGCGGAGTCGGAGTCGGGAGTTGGAGTCGGTCGGAGTCGACAATTCTGCCCGGAGTCGGAGTCGGAGTCGGAGCTGGTTTTTGAAAGCCGGAGTCGGAGTCGAAGTCGGAGTCGCCGAAAATCCGTCGACTCCGCAGCCCTGGTCCTGACGGAGTCCAGTGCACACAAATTTGTCTTTGGAAGTACTGAGTCTCATGCTGGATTGGCAGACAAATCGAGCAAATACAGACAAATGTCATGCAAATCGAATGTCAAATCTCGACGAATCTAGCCGCGTTCCTGACTGACATTGTGCGATATTCTATCGAGCACCCGCCTGTGACCTTGTTCGTTGAACTATGACCAGGAGTGGAGGATTGTGCCGACTCGGCGTAGCACGGGCGCAGCAAATCTGCCGCCGCCTTAGCGGTGACCTTGACTCCCGCCGTCTGTTGCAACTCCAAAGCCAAGCCGGCGTGGAATTGGCAAAGCTCGTGCTACCCAACTCGGCAAAGTTATTCACCCCTGCCTATTGACCGACGCCTGTCTGTGACCTTGTTCGTTGACCTCTGACCTCTGTTCGCAGACGCTTCCCTCTGCCGGCCCGGTGACCTCTCTCTAAAGATGGCCGCACACCACAACAAGCTGCACGTGCGCCATGACCCGTATGGACGCTTGCTGATGAAAACTTCCTAAGCGCCAGAGCCACCCCTGCACCGATCTGGCCAGAAAACATCAGTGTCCGTCTGTGACCCGAGAGTCACAACTTACGTGTCGCGCCGCGATCGAAAAGTGTTACATACGTGACGCAAATGGACAAAAGTGTCACCTTTGGCAGGCGACTTGATCACTTGCTTAGACTGTGGAAATACTATGTGAATATGTGAGCGGGCTGAGCGAGCCCAGTGAACGCGCACAGTGTGAAAATGTTGTGGACGCTGTGTGGACTCGGTGTGGACATTTACAAACGCTGTGGACAGCGCTGGAATTTGTGGACGCGACGCCACGGCCGGTCACAGTCGCGTGCTGGAGCCCGGGAGAACGGATGGTTGTAGTTGTTGTTTTGTACCTGTGATAAGCAGTGTAGCAGCTCTGTCCAAAATCGATGAATAAACCGGCACGTAGAGGTAGACTCACCAGACAGACGGCGTTTTCTGTTAGATGTTGAGGCGCTTACATGACGTGCTGATTGCTGAAGATGTTTTCTAAAACACTAAATCAAATCCACATTACGGCTGCATGACAGATTCACTTTACCAATCACACATATAACTAAGCACCATGAGGTTAGACTTGCGCCCTGAAGCAATGAATAGAGCGAGCATAATACCCGTGCGTATGTTCAAGATATGCCCGAAGCGGGCTGACGATTTCAATTTCGGACGGCATGTTTTCTCACAACGTCAACGTGCTAGGTAGTTTACTAAAGACATCCTTGTCCTATAAAGAAGAAGTAGAAAACAAGATGTGATGATTCCATTAGGTCGGCTCCATTGAAGAACAATATTTATACTCCAAACACACGACTCTAGTGATATTTATGGTAGCGCCCCTGAAGGCACTGCTGTTTTTGTCGACTTCTTTACGGCGCGATCGGAGAGAGTAATATATGGCAGGATTTAAGCTGATGTGATATAGGGCGAGACTGATGCAGCGAATCATAGAGCACTGAACTTCGTCCTCTTCCACAGTCTCCAACAACATTAATATCTTGTGATATATCGTTCGATTGATATGTGATGCTCATAAACTAGATTGGGTCAATACACACTGCACAGGGTCCAAGAATGGAGATCAGATGTGAAAGGAACTAGGGAGAAAGGATTATAATGCATAGGATCGGCTTGAAACTTGCACACAACAGAGATTCTGAAAAGAACGCGTGACCCAAACCATTCAGCGGCACATCCACAGACATTGGATTCCATAGACATTTGAACATAGAGAAGTCAGCAAGGGTCACAGTGCCGAATTTCACCAAGCAGATTGTGGCCCATCCATAGGTGAGCCTGAAACGCCGAAAAACAAACGACTTTCCGTGACCTGAAGCAACTTTCCTAGCTCTACTGGGTGGGTTGCAAGCTGCTGTGCAGCTTGGGGGTCGTGACCTCTCTGTTGGTCAAACAGCGAGGGGTCACGCCAAATACGGTTTACTTAATTGTGGTTATGTGCACATTGCACAATGTTCTTATCTAATTTCAATTAGCATGGAAACCGATAGATATCTTTATTGCAGCGAGCTGAAGCGCACATATACCAGTCAAGTCCGTAATTTCGCGGTATTTGTAGTAGTAGTGAGTGAGAGAGAGAGAGAGAGAGAGAGAGAGAGAGAGAGAGAGAGAGAGAGAGAGAGAGAGAGAGAGAGAGAGAGAGAGGGAGAGGGAGAGAGAGAGAGAGAGAGAGAGAGAGAGAGAGAGAGAGAGAGAGAGAGAGAGAGAGAGAGAGAGAGAGAGAGAGAGAGAGAGAGAGAGAGAGAGAGAGAGAGCAAGAAAGAGGAGAGTTTTATTTATTTACAGACACATTCTCAAAAGTACACACTACACATGCACCCTAGGTATGCACTCAATACTTATAACGTATGTATGTAAGAGCACCGCAAAAGGGCCAAAGCGATAGCCATGGGCCAACGTTAGCGTCGTACTTACCTACTGGGTTTGGCGCGGCTCCTGGGCTGTTGTTATTTGTTGCTGTCGCTTGCATGATTCAGAAACGCATCAGTCTTTCCGCAAGATTTCCTTCTTTGGGGATGGACGTGGGTCAGACAGCTCAGCGCTGAAGTCCACGAATATCAGTCACTTGCAGCCAGTGAATGTGCAGCAAGCGTGCTCCGAGATGTCCAATGTCCATCGAAAAGAGTTATACGACACATGCATATATGCAAATTTGATTACCTTACCTTACACCAATTATAACTTCGATTACAGCTCAAATACTAAAAGCCCTTGGAGGTTATAATTATGATGTAATTAAATAGGTGACACTCTTTTAAAAAAAGGGATAAAAAAGCTTCAAAAATCATTCGACTTTGTTACACCGTTTGTCACGATACTCCGTTTTCGTGCCGTTTCTTTTCTGACTTTTTTTAATCAAACACGGGCTTTCTCATTCTCATTTCATGCCGAGGCACCAGCTGACGTTCGCGTAATTAAAATTCTTGTCAGACTTCATCACGACTTAGCAAGCGAGAGAGCACTTTTGATTTACTGTCGACACGCTGCTTCACAAATCAAGATTCAAGGAGGTGTTCGCACCTCTAATTTTGAGCAAAAGTAGCCAAAAATGTGCTGTCCAGTATCCAATGTTCCTAGCACATAGCACATATTACACAAAGTGATGACAACATGCAGGGTAGTGATGACAAGTGATGACAACAAAAATATGCAAAAATAGAGGACACAACTAGCATTGAGCCTTTAGCATTATTTGACATTGAAGATAGGTATCTTCCTTAAAAACATGTCATTCTGTCTGATAAAGACTACTTAAAACTGGACTTAAGTAGTGAAAAAGCACTACCTCCATAAGATATTCCAGCATCAGAGCAACATTAGTTGACTTAGCGCACAGCAATATCAGTGCAAGTATGCTATCGATATAATCGCTAACCAGTGCAGAGGTGTTATCGATCAGCATTGAACTCTACATCGCCACCTCGCCTCTAAAGACAGCAGTCATTTCCCCGTAATCAGAACAGTACACGAAGAGATCTCTCAGGATTTGAAAGGATGAAATAACATTCACTCCTCGAGCGACTGAAATTTAAATGAGACGCAATTTCCTCCGCGCTGGTTCTGTTTAGGCGTCAGCTCTTGCCGCTGCTCTGAGCTGCACATTCAGCATGTAGGAGACTGTAGGTACGCATACTAAAGCGTTCAGGAAGCCAAAAGCCCTGCTTTCTTGTTGTCAACAGAAACCTATGCGCATTATACATAGAGTAACGGTTTGATAATAAACATTACTGTATGCCTGGCCTATTCAAATACATTAGCCTGAGGGGTGTGGTAATAACTGGTGTAAGCAAATTGACCACGGTCAAAAATGCATTACCAGAATGCACTAAAGCCAACATTTTGGGATGGTCTCGTTCCTAAGTCGGCTAAGAGCTTCGGTCCAGAAAATAAATTTATCGTTGGCATACAGTAAAATACATACCAAACTCGGCCGGTGATAAATTTTCAAGACCTCAGTCCTTACTGATTTTTGAACTCGGCCTTCGGCCTCGTTCAAAAATCCAGTAAGGACCTCGGTCTTGAAAATTTATTTACACCGGCCTCGTTCAGTATTATATATAACATTCTTGTCATTTATGTTCGTGAGAATAGCCTAACCAGCCGTTAAAGCATCACTATTTGTGATAACATGAATAATAAACCACATGTGATGCTTAAAAATATGAATTATAAAATGGATGGATGCATTTATGAAAAAATTATCTAACAACATCCAGAGAAGTGTTCAATTTGATATGTAACTTCCCACACGAAAGTCGGAACAGAGGTCCAGTCCAGTCGATACAACTGCCAGCGATGTGCTTGAATGTTGATTTAAACAGTTTCACAAAGCATTTATCTAGCATATTGTTGAATATGTAAGATTAATTATCTGCGCTGAACATTTTCTCGTCCAACGCTACTCCACGAAGCTGGGTGATATGCGCCTCACTGGAGGTTAGACTGTCCCGCCGCACACCGGTGCTTGCGGCACAGTCTACATACAGGCAGTACGGCCGGACCGCTGCCTGCTGCGGTTGTGTCCTGCAAATGGATCCCTGTGTAACACCACCTCCGACCAAGACCTGTGCTCAGCAACAAACCAACGAATGTCACTCGTCCAGGCATCCAATGTTACGCTTCAACAAAGGTTATGTTCAGTGACGCACAAGCTTTGTTGTGGAACCTCTGTTGTGCCACCTTTGTTGTGCACAACCAATGCACAACCTTGCTGCCTGTTCTGTCATATTTTTTTTTAAACAAAACTGTCAATTATCTGCGAATTCAGCTCCCTGCTTGCTCTTCCTACTTCACTAAATGAAGGCGTGTGGATAGCCTCATAACATTTTATTAAAATTTCAACACAGTTCCGTCATTTTCTATCTTTAAGCCAGTCAAATCCTTCTCCTCCACGCCTCAAACTGATCAAGGGTTAACGGTCACCTTTATCCCATGCGAGTCGCTCCTCAGGAGCAGGTCTATCGTGTGGCGGGGTGACCATTAGCGGGGCTGGGTGGGCTGAATGCTCAACGCCCAACGGGCTCAGCCCCGGTGATGCACCACGGTGACCGCCCAGCTCAATGTCTCCCCCTTATTCCTAGTACCCATCCGGCTAAGGCTTCCAAGACAAAGGTCCCTGTCAAATAAGGTCACTTACAAAAAATCAAATTATTGCTTTCAAGCTATTCATAACTAATTCAAAACAATATTGATAACAAGGGGTGTCTGCATAGAAATGGAAACAATAATCAATGTCATTAGATATTTAAAGTCACACCAATGCATTATTTGCACAATAATTTATGGAGCAGCTTTCCTGTATGCTTCCCGCGATCATCTTTTAAATATTCCTTGACGTCACAAACAGCACAAAAGAATAGCGGCCGGCAGACACCGGGTTTTTCAGCTCGGCTTCCGACAGCAGTATTTCAGCGGTCCTGTGGCGCCCGCGTTCGATTATTTAAATCCCAGCGACGCCCGGCCGCAGCAGAAGTCAGGAGCCTTATCTCTACCACGCAAACTGATTACAGGGCAGGCGACGCCGACCGACACGGCACGACAACGCGCTCTCGGCACCGGTTAATAAAATCCGCTCATTTCGTGCGAGACGAACACGGCGCGCTGGTGGCGTGATGCGGCGCGCGTATTGATTGCCGAGCACCGCGCCGCGCGGGACGGTCCTCTTCGTGACCAGGTCGCGTTCGGGAGGCGCCGTTACAGGCGCGGGTTTTAGTCCAAACCGGTCGGAAACGCAGCCTGATTGGAGGCGCGTGCATGCCGGCGGTTCAGCGATCGGCCTGTGTTTATCCTGGATGGTGGACAGTCTCTGCTATTGAGCTGCCAGCTAATGATGGCAGTCGTGAAAAAGTTTTTAGTGCGATATTATGGTCTGTGAGATTTTAAGGGAAGCTGCTGAATGAAAGTTGTCGCTCC